TTCAACCGACGGTGAAGGGTCACGCGTATAGAGGTAACGAACCCGTATAATCGATTGCGTTTCAAAAAAAAAAATAATAATGGCACACACATACACCAATAATGAACTCGTTGATATATTGTTAATTTATGGCAAATGTCTTCAAAATGATACAGAATCGTAGCGAGTGTATGCAGATCGTTTCCCTAGACGACATCATCCAAGGCTCCGCAGATTTGTGTATCAGAGAGTCAGGGATACGGGCCATTTGGAGGAATTTCGAGGTGGGCACAGTGGGAGGCCTAGACAACCACGAATGGTGCAAGTTGAGGAAAAACTACTGAATCGCGTAGACGAGAATCTCTCAACAAGCACTAGAGATGTGGCTAGAGAAGTGCAAGTATCAAAATCTAAAGTGTGGCAAACGTCCAACGTGTACAAGCCCTTCAACCTGACGATTTTCCAGCAAGAGTGCGGTTTTGTGAGTGGTTGTTGCATCAACATGACAATAATCCGAACTTTTTGAAGTGACAGATTGGTGACAGACGAATCTACGTTCACGCGTAATGGGGTGAATAACTTTCGATTTCAGGCAGAGACGTACTTAGCCCTTCTCGTCAACTGGAGAGTGAGTACTTTTTCCTTTATTTTTTTTACTTGGTCGCCCTTGTTTCACTACACATTACCTTTGTTATTTCAAGGATAGTTGTTTCTGAAAAGGAAAACCCCAACTTTGCGGACACCCTGTATAAAGGAAAGTGGTATACGTCCCTACAAACAACAATGTTTAAGGGTCGATCAACGTCATGTTATTACAATTTACATTTAACAAACATTATAAACATCCATAATAAACATAATTGTAAACGTTGTACACCCGTACAAACAACATAAAACATTTGTTTATAGTTTCACAGTTTACATTTAACAATAATCAACATTCATAATAAGAACAAAGGTAAAGGTTGTACACCCATGTTAAGGACTTTGTTTATAGTTTATATTGATTTTATATCACGTGTAAAAATTTCTGCCATATTCCACAATATTGCACTATTAGTCTTATCCGTATTATTGAAATTAAGAGTGATTGATCGCAGAATTTAAACTTTTATTATTTATAATGCATATAGATGTAAAAGTTGTACATCCATACAAACAACATCTTTAAGGATTTTGTTTATAGAATCATCATCATCACAATTTACATAAAATTTTTATAGTTCATAGACTATATATTAACAATGATCAACATTCATAATCAGTACACATGTAAAGGTTTTACACCCATGTTAAGGACTTTGTTTATAGTTTATACCTGTTATTTTTATGTCACATGTAAAAATTTTGTATTTCTGCCATATTTCACAATATTGCACTATTAGACTTATTCCGGAATGTGTAAGAAACTGTGTATTTTTTGTGATTTTCTGTTTATAATGGCGTTTCATATACTGGTAAGAGGTTTAAATTAATATATAAAGATATAATACGTTTTACAGATCTTGTTAGGATTGTTTTTCGTTGTCTGTAATAAATATAAGGTTTATAGAAGGTCGATTTTACTTCCCACGCTTGCTAGCAGTAGAATTATGTCACTCCTTTTTGGCGGTCCGCGTGTCTGCCTGTACGCTAATGCTTGTCCCGTCTATAACTTGGAAAGATTTGGACTACAACGTACATGTGCGTCTGTAGGAGTTTTTCTCAAAGAGGACGGGGAGGGTCATTCATCGGCAAGAGACAACTTTGTGTGGAAGCGCGCATGCTTCCAAAGCTTCTTGAACATCGGAAGCTAGCAAAACCACCCAACGGTACCCTTCTTCAAGTTTAAGTGACATTTTATTGACAATAAGATATATATTGCCTAATGTGTCAATGAAACATATGGGTAAAAAAGTGCGAATTCTACTTAAACAAGGTCACCGTTAGGATCGAAACGTACAGTAAAGAGTAATTTCAAACATATGTGGTTTGATTCGCCTAGAGAAGCGTCAAGAACTACTATATCAATACGAAAACCACATGATATTTTGTCAGTTGCGTATTGATTGATAGAGTTTGTAATGTGAGAGAGTTGTGTTATCTCTTTCTGTGCTATATGTATACCAGGTGTTTCAAATTCGACCCTCACCAATGGGATCTTGTAAACCGTGAGGGATACGAAGTCGCCTAGGAAGTTACCAAATCCAAAGTACACGTCCGTAGAGAGAAATAAGAAACTGAATTTACCCAAAAAAGTAGTTAGATTTAAAAGTAAATTGCACATTAAGACTGTCACTTTTTCTTTTGTATAAGACGACATAATTAGAATTTCAATATGACGTTTCATCTTTGTCCTCCAGCATCAACTCGATTCGATATACGATTTTTGCACAGAAGAGTAGAGTTTGTGATTCTGATTCGAAAAATGCATATTATATGCTCTTAGTAACTAGACGGTTAATATATACAATGTTGAATCATGCTTATTCATCTATGATAACAACTTCCTGTTGATCCATTGTTCTTTCTATTTCAATCTGTTGCCTATTGTAAGCCTAACATACGATGCATCGTCAGCGGAAAGCCACGTGTGCCTGAGCTAAGATGCCTTGTTAGCAAGACCTAAAAGTATAAATAGGTCCTGCAGACCTATACCACCGGCGCGACACCGTAATGTACGAATATTCGTAAGTTCAGTTGTAACTTTGTAATTTTTTAGCGGACTGAAGGGCTGTCCTCGACACATGGAAAGAGATCTGCTGGACCCCTTGGAGAACACGACGATGTACCCTTGGTAACGTACAATTTAAGTAATCTAACTACTTATCTGTGCTATATCTCTGTGTTGGTGTATTTCAATTGTTTATTCATATTTTGCATATCTATTGTTGATTTTCTACGAATTTTTTCCAATTTTCCCGAATTTTCTACGCATTTTCCCTATTTTACATTTGATATTCGCATAATTGCGCATTAGCCAACTTGAATTTTTCGTTTTTGTGTATTGAGAAACAGATTTCCAATTCAAAATGTCTAACACCACTCATGAAGTTGCCAGAACTACGCAAAATGTTAAGAAAAATGTTTACAATACACATGCACTTCGAATATTTTTGACTGGCTTGCGTGAACCTTTGGGCTCTACGGTTCGAGCTACGAGACCGAATCCTCTTGCCGAAACACGTCAATTTGTCATTTCTGAGAATAATATTTCACATTTAAGAAAAACTGATTTTGACAACAACAGAAAAAATGTTTGGAGACCTAATTCATCCCAACAACAACCACGGCCTACCCCCATGAGTGGAGTTTCTCATGGTACTGATCCAAGAATAAATTCCCAAAATTACTTTAGACGTTCTGGACCATCTAATTTTATAGCTGAAGAACTATAATACAACTTCCACGATCAATACCCCTCCGAGGAATATACTGATTATTACGAAGACATCCCTGAATCGTACGATCAATACGAGATTTGTGATTCCGAACCTCATGGCATTCAAAATCAACTGAATACTTCTAAAACCAAAAATTTTCAACGAGCCGAGTCCCAGGTGACACCCACCTAGAAAATCATCACATTTATGAACACAAATATTTGCCGTATATTCAAATTAGCAACCCTCCTTTAAAACTCTTAATTGACACCGGAGCCACAAAATCATTCCTAAATCCCGAAATTGCAGAAAATTTCTATCCCGAATATATACGCAAAGAACCATTTACAATTTCTGTGTGGAGATAATGTGTCTAAAGAGGACGGGTCGATCTTATATCGATGCCATGAAGTCTGAAAAAAAGACTGACATTCATTAAACATGCAAATTACAGCCGAGGCTTTGGCCATATATGTAAAGAGAAACAGTCCAACTTACGAGTGTATTTCGGTGTGAAAGATCCGAAGTCATTAGAATTTGAGTCTGCTGATAATACCACAGTAACATTTTTTCCAGAAACCATTAAACATATAGGTGAAAATTTAAAGCTTCCGCCTTTTGTTGGGTACTTCGACAAAATTTAAGCAAAGAGGACTCTTTATACTTTTTTTAATTCTCTCTAGCTTTCAATGGACTTTGCCATCATCATCAGGAGCTGCAATTACAATGATAACAGTAGCAACAAAAGTGTAAAATGAATTTAAATTGAATCAACTTACAGTAGTATGTGAGGATGTTGCTAATTGTTGTTTACGTATAGGATGAGGGAAACGTCCAGTAACATGGTGAGAGCTGGATACATGGTACAATGGTTAAAATTATATAAAATATGACAAGACAAGTTAAAGACAGATTAAAAATTGTTTAGAAAACATTAGAGCATTACATCGTGAAGCCACTTGATGATTGCACAAAATGGTGGTCATGGAATAATGAGTGAGATGAACCTTTGACAGAAGGCCGAAGGTTGTCAATGTCTGTGTTGAAAGATGGAACGAATTGTGGGCGTGTGCCAAAACGTTGCCAAATCACTTCAGATGATGTGATTTTCAGAATGTTATGTAAGAAATTGTTAAACCGACCAGAGGCAGTTGAATAAACTATATTTTAATTAATGGGAATTTTAAATTAACAATTATTAATAAATCGTGAGAAGAGAATTATTAGATTTTGAGTGGAATGAAATTTGTTGGTGGAATCGGTCAAAACACAGATTATATTTATTGTTGTGAAAAGTCGAAATTTGGGGAGATATGTAAGTTCTCCAATTGACAACCTTAGGCCTTCTGTCAAAGGTTCATCTCACTCATTATTCCATGACCACCATTTTGTGCAATCATCAAGTGGCTTCACGACGTAATGCTCTAATGTTTTCTAAACAATTTTTAATCTGTCTTTAACTTGTCATATTTTATATAATTTTAACCATTGTACCATGTATCCAGCTCTCACCATGTTACTGGACGTTTCCATCCTATACGTAAACAACAATTAGCAACATCCTCACATACTACTGTAAGTTAATTCAATTTAAATTCATTTTACACTTTTGTTGCTACTGTTATCATTGTAATTGCAGCTCCTGATGATGATGGCAAAGTCCATTGAAAGCTAGAGAGAATTAAAAAAGTATAAAGAGTCCTCTTTGCTTAAATTTTGTCGAAGTACCCAACAAAAGGCGGAAGCTTTAAATTTTCACCTAACTGGTCTAGACGACAATGACCACGTCTCAAGTTATATATATATATATAAGAGGATGCTGTAAAGAATGTGTCGAAACCGTTCATGGTCATTGTTATAACGAGCCGGAGATCAATTCCGGTATTACGATCGATACGGTGGTGACAGATATAAGACGAGTTCTTCATTCTGTGCGGCAGTATCTGAAAGGCGACCGTAGAGACAAAATTGGTAAGCAACTTTTAACTGAAAAGCCAGCAGTATGGTTGAACGAAGCAGCCACAGACATGGATTTTGGTGCTGCAGTACCATATATTCCTTAAGCAGCGACGCTGAGAAAATGCAAAGATGCACAGGATCTGAATATCGATTAAAATAATGACCTTATTGGGTCTGTGAAAACAGTGAAAGTAAATTCAGGGTATTCTGGCTTTATAAAGCAAATTGGTGTAGATAAATTTAGCGTAATGCGTCTTCAACTCGTTAATTACAAAACCCCTCATCAGCATCGTAAAATTGAAATAGACGTATCAGGTACTATTGCCAAACCAAAATTAAACTACAGTAATGTTTCTCATGCCATTTTTCTTTATCAAATCGTACAAAGCGGGGAATCAGGAATTGCTCCAGTGCCGCAAATGATTTCCAAAGAACACGATACGAATATGATGAATTATTGGTTAACAGCGCACCCACACCAGACGAAGTGGTTACAGATTTTTCTTTGGAACTGCTAAACGCCGTAGCATTGGCATTTAATAAAAGGGCCCTTAAAGGGTATGTTGCAGGTTGCTTTCGAATTTTAAATAATGAACTGCTACACCACTCTTTGCGGACCCACATAAGGGTTGATATTGCTCATCTAATGAATCTTTTATCTTTTTTCGATAAAAGACTGCCTTCGGTAAAGGACTTCTATGCAAGGTGATTAGGACTCATGACAACCTGCGTAAACTTAAGTTCGTTTAAAAAGGTGTTACAAAGCATATTTATCATAGCACTGAGTGAATGCGACGGATAAAATGATGTTGATGTAGATCTTACCAGTGAAGTTAGGAAAAAAATATTCAGGCAAATGGAAACTTTTTGTATTGTATTAAATGATACAACTGTCCGTGAGTTACTTGATGATTGCGGTGACTTAGAACTGAGACAATATCTGCTTTTGTTCAAAATAATCTCGACAGTGCCACTGTAATAGCTGGCAAATGTAAAGGGTACAGCGATCAAATCCTTATTATTTACCGCAAATAGTAGACATTTTGGTAAGCCTGGCTAAGGAGTTTCCATTATGGACAAACGTAATGATTTCTACATTTCCAAAGCCAAATTTAGTCGCATCATCAGCAAGATCTGAAAGTTATTTCAAAGAGCTGAAGCCGTGCCTCGGGGGCAAGCATACAAGCCCTTACGGGCAGATAAATTTATTGCCAGGCATATAAGATGGATGGAAAGCTCAACCAAATATGAACGCGCTGCGGTAACGGATAGGTATAAGCGCAGAAAAAAATCCAAGGAATCTAAGAGCAAAAACATTTGTATGGACAAGATACAGGAAAGTGCCAATGATTATTTAATACATACAGAAGGATGTAGGGGCAAAAATTGTGCCACACCTCCTATTCCCGGTGAGTCAATAGAAATAAATTACATCGAAAATGAGGTTTCACTGATATTAGACTCAGAGTATTTGGACATACTTCTTTCAACATCAATAGAAAAAATCCTTGACTCACCGCGCCTTTTTCAAGCCTGGACCTCAAGAGTCAAATGCGGCCACAAAACAATTTTTTCTCATGATAACAAAACAAAAGTTACCCTAAAAATAAAATCAATGAAAAGAAATAAGCATCTTTAAAAGACTGCAATAAATGAGGGACAATGCACCACATGTGGCACTGTTTTGGAAGATGAGGTAGATTTAGAGGTTTCACATCAAGAGACCTGGGAAACCAATCTTTCAGGTGCTGTACAAAATTGTATAACCAATTTTTTTGCAAACGCTTTGGATTGTAAGAAATGCAATGTAAAAATTATAACAAAAAAACGCCTAGGATCTCACCTTATTTTAGAAACTGGGTTCGCGTTCAATGCGAAAGTGCAAAAATAATTTTATCCGCACGCATCAATTCACGTGAAATTGGTGGACATTCCAACAGAAGTATATGCTGTTGGGAACAAGTATATGCTAAATGGCGTAGTTTCGTAGGATTATTGTGGAATTACTCTCGACCATTGTCGGGCATATTGTCGCAATCTGCGAGAAACCTCATCAAAACAGCCGCGAGTTGTATTAAATCCTTCCAGTAAAAGAGTTAGTCTATCCATTTTTATCCACACAAAGCTTGTAGATCATTGTAAATTTAATAGCCTCAGGAAAAACTGAAATCGAATGAAATGGAGACAAACTGATAGTTTACTGTCTTAGGTTTAGAACTTTTCGTGCAATGTGTTTGAAGTAATAAGGTCAACAGGTCTAAATGTCGTTAGTTTGTGCGCTTTTTGTTTTTAACTGAGGTTTTTGAATTGGAAACTGGTAGAGATTATGAGAACGAATAAATAAAGTTCGTATAAACATATGTGTTTTACGTTGCTGAGATACAGGATTCAAGTATATTCATTTGATATAGGTACATTTTACACGTTATCAAAACTCAACTTGGTATTTTGGACTTTTATTAGATAAGCCACTGACTCCATTTTGTGAATATAATGGAAGGACTCTTAAGCGAAAAAATATTTTGCTTGCTCATAGTTATATTTTTTGTAATTAAATGTATAACTAAAAACATTACTGAATGGTAACATTCGCAGGAATAAACGATTTGTGAAACGCCTCTAGAATATTTGTTGGGACCTACAAAATTAATGTCACTGTTAAATTAAAGAATTTCATCACAAGTGATTTATAAGAAACTCTAATAAAAAAATGAACTTGAACCCGTATCTCAGTAACAAATTCGAGATCCCAATGGTGTGAGATAAGTTTGAAGCACCCGGTGTATATAATTTAGGAAAAAAGAACAAACCTTTTATCTATAACTATATATATAGAGAGAGAGAAGATGATGCGGAGAAAGGTATATAACAAAAAGTAAGAAAATAATGGGCAAAATCCGCAAAAAGGAAGAAAGTGGATTCGAGCAGAAAATAAGATAGGTACCCCGAGCGATACGTATTTCTGCTGGTTGGCTTCATCAGGCTCGAAATGAATAAACATACGAAACTACAAAGGTTGATACACATGCCCACACATCCGGATGCGGGTGTAACCTGAGGAAACGGAGATGGAGAGGGAAAAAACGACACACGAAGTCCACAACAAGAGCCAACCTTGTATAACAACAGATCAGCTGGTAGAAAGGAAGGGACCCGATTCCGAAAACTCCAACTGCCTTCTTCACGGTGCACGTTGACTACATGGGACCACTCCCAAAAAGTAGGAGAGGCAATTCTTAAATTTTGGCGTTAATTGATGGGTTCACGAAATTTGTCGCACTGAAGGCCGTAAAGCCGACAAAGACTAGGTACGGGATAGATCACATCACAACCCTGTCAGTGACATAAAGAGTACCTAGGGTACTAATCAGTGACCAGGCAAGCTCGTTTACAGCCAAAAGATTCAGAGATTTCTGCCATCAGAACAACATCAAACATGTATTGAATGCTGTGGCGATACCCAGGGCAAACGGAAAAGTAGAGCGGTTAAATCAAACGTTGCTAGACGCTTTTCTTACAACTACGTTGAAGGAAGACCTGAGGGACAGAGAACTTCCAAATGTTCAGTTTGCCATGAACGACGTCCCAGATAAGTCTACAGTAAAAACACCGAGTCAACTTTTATTTGGTTTTGGACCCCGAGAGGGTGTGGATATGGCTCTAAAGGACGAAGATAGTCAAGTCCCCACACTCCCACACTCCTCAAAGACCTTGTTGCCACAGGGGAGGGAGCTACCCGATAAATAGAGGTAGCTGGACAGGAAAAAAAAGTCAGTTTTCACAAGAAGCGGAAGGCTCCGGGAAAATATAGACCGGGCGATTTATTCTTTGTCGAAAAGCATAATTCTGCTACGGGGGCAAGTCGGAAATTACAGTCATTATTATTTTACTAATTTGATCTGAATGGAACTGCTAGATAGAAGATTGAATATTGTCAAAATGCCATAGGATGTTACCAATTGTCATCGACATAATAATACATTTGTGCAAGCTGATTATTTGGGTGTTGTAGTTGACGATTGAAAAACAAGTCCTGACGTTCTCGGTTCCAGTTCTAGCGAACCTGCGTAGAGTGCCTCTTCTTGACGGAGTAACGGAGATGCAAGGAGGTAGTTTGCTACTTTCGGTATCAAATCGATTTTATAAGGTGTTTGCTGAAAGTGCCTTATTTCGCGGATTACCCGTGCAATCTGGAAAGAAGGAGTGATTAGGTATGGCGTACTAGAATGGAAAGCACCAAATATATCATGCGACTAGGTAAAGGCAGACTTAAGGTTTCATAGTATGTCCCAAACAACGGTAGGAATGGAAGGTGTTTCCTCAATCGTTTGCTCTCCTCCAACATGTTTGCGTACCTACCGTTCTCATCTTCGCGAAGTTCAGCAGCCCTTCAGTTGTGAACGTTGACGTATCCTCTTCAATAAAGGCTAGATACGACAAGTATAGACCGAGATAAGGTATACATGGAGGGTCACACCTATGCAGCGTATCCCTTAAAGCTCGATAATGTCCATCTGGGGCAACGATGCTTTGCAACTTCTCAATTGTGTTTTTGGTCTGAAATTGAAAGCTTTGATCAACAAGCAGGCATTGAGAGGATATTTATTATATACTCACAGTTTTTGACACCTTTTCCCAGGTATTCGTCAGTCGACATACAAAAGTATTTGTGAAAGCTGAACAGATTTGTAATACGCCATTGAAGTTTTGTAAATATCTGCAAATGTCACATACGGCAGCCCATTTCTCTATAGCTGCCACTCTAGCCTTCAAGTTTTTGCATTTTAATATTTCCAAAACCACTAATGTTGAAACCTCGTTGAACCTCTTAGTCATCAGAACTACGTGTGGGGCACGCTTATCATTATCTGCCTTTATCCACGCTTGACCCAAAAATTCGCTGAAAGTGAATGAATTACTGAAACAGCTATTAAGAACGAAAATTGGGATTAGATTATATTAGATCAGTGACTGACAAAGGCCGAGTTGTCAAGAAAATGAGGGAAGATCGAAATAATAGCATCTAAGCCTACAAAGGGAAATTTGAAATAAGGTATCTTACTCGGCAGAGATTGCTACGAAGACATGATGATCGAGGTACGTCATCTGTTCTGCAATTTCTAAGGCGGATAATGTTTCAATGGATTCCTTGCTCGATACCTAAAAGAAATATCATATTATTAAATACCGTCTGTTAGGTTTAATCAGACATGAGATTTGGAGAAGCAACCAACCCTTGATAGAGCAACAAGTTTGAATACAGAAATCTTAGAGCCTTCAGCGTCTTCTCTAGTCAACATTTTCAACAGCTGAGCCGCAGCTGTGTGCTCTGCAGGCAATAGATTTGGGCTGTAGATGATGTCATCCAAAAACTCTATGGTCATGTTCTTGAGCTTAGGGTCATTCTTGAAGTCTTGTGGATGCTCAGAAATCCAGTGCTGGAGTACGTTAACAACCCTGATGCATGCTGAAGACATGACTCTCTCTTTGTGACGTGCCCTTTCAGCATCTTCTTGTTCTTGAGCTGGAACCACGTCTCTGGGATTACTACAAGCTGAAGTGGCTATAGCAAATGCTGCTACTGCAGAGTTACTGCTTCTACAACAAAAGTACCTTATTTTTTGGTGGATAAGAAAACAAAGCGCGAAATGTGTAAGAAAAGATAAGCTTAATGATGAACATGATTGAAGTTGACATTGACGGAAGTAAACGTTGCTAATCCTCAGGCAGTCTATTCCAATCTATAGTGTTTTATGATCAGTCGCAAATATTTCATAAAGTTATAAAAACTTGTGAGATTTACCTTCTTTTTGGTAGCCGAAACGATGTTATCACAACTCCAGCCTTACTAGGTCTTTGAGGGGATCCATGCTGAAAACTAGACCTTGCTATAGATGATTCTCCATCCTGCATTGACCGGTTTGTACTATAGTAGCTCTGAAAAAAAATATGCAACAACAACTATTATCTAACATATTTATTGAAACTGCAACCAGAATATAACGTAAGCATTTTAGGTCGTTGTTATTCAAAGGATATAGAGGTAGAATGATGCATACTGATGTAAGAATATGTTTGCCATTTTGTGCAAGTTTGAAGACAGGTTACTACTATAGCTTTGTTTAAGCCTACTTACTTGTAAAACACCAGTGGTCGTAGAAATACTTGTCGATCTAGATGAACTACATGAAGCCCTATGGCTTGCAACGCTTGGAGGCTGCTCTTCTCCTAGATCTTCTGATTTTGTCGATAACCCCTTTTTAAGATTTTTTACTGGCCCTTTTGTTGGAGATAATGACTTATCTTTACTAGCCGTTTTCTCCTTTTTATCTTTATCTTTCTTTTCCTTATATTTGCCATCGTCAGTTGGAGTCTTAGTTGATTGTTTTGAAGAAGAGGTACCTTGCTCATTTGCATCAGAACCTGCTGATCCTACCAGAGTCTCAAAGCTCAAGTCCTTTGGAGAACATGGAGCACTTAGTATGGTTACTTCTGCAGTAATACAAAAAAGGTCACATATTATGAAGAGGCTAATATCAGGAATTAATATCAACGACTGGTGTAGTTGCTAGCATGCTAACGCTATGGTAAATACTGTATCATTTATTATCTTTTATCTTTTAACTCACAGTAATTGACCGAATATACATCGCCATCATATTGCATTGGATATACATCACATCAGCTGCCAACGTCAAGTCAAATGTAATTAGTGTTACTGTCATATGATGTGTTTATTTTCTTTGAATATTTTTCCCAATCATAGAATTCAATTTTACGTTAGGAAAAAACATTGTTCCTTCTTATTTATATCTACAAAATGTTTTCTTTAAGGTAAATAACGTTTTCATAACTATGAAAAAATTAAAACGATTGTCGGAAAATCGGTAATTTCGAAACTATTTAAGCGACATTTTGCCACCAGTTAAGCGACTTCGTATCTATTATAGATTCCGTGATCCCAAGGTTGACGATCTAATTTGATACACCCTGTATAATGGAGTATCATTATGAGGTACAATTCATTTTAGGAAATTATTTCCTTGGGGGTGAAAATTCTTTTTGAAACTTGTTTGGATCACTAATTCATTAATCACCAAGAACTAAAATATGTGGACCATAAATGTGGAGCAGACTTTCAAATCGCACTTTGTCCAAATTTTCACATTTTGCCTTATAGATGGCGTTGCATTCTTTAAAACATCATTTATCAATTCACGTACTCCTAGACAACCTAATCGCAATATTTCACGTATATTTCTGGCTTGAAAAACGCCCTAGACAAACAAAAAGCATTTTGTCCATTAGCGAGAGACAAACAAACAGCACTATTTTGGACAAAATGCGATTCGGTTGTCTTGTAATGCTTTCTTACCATGTAACCACTTTATTATTTACTTTTAAGCAGTGTAGCAATCAACAGTGTTGTTGTGATATTAGTAGTGCGTAAAAAGTAGTGTTTATTAGAGCAATTTAACAAAAAATGATTGAAGGTGAGCATATAGTGGGAGATACAAATAGAGGAACGAGAAAAAGAAAAATAAATACTACCTCAAAAGAACGTAAGAGAGAAATAAGGTACATTGAGATATTGTAGGTTATGTTGTATTTTTGTTGCTTAATTTTTTCGTTTCAGATATTCAAATTTAGACCCAGATTTACTGAATTTTAAAAATAACTGCGACCATAGATCAAACAAATTTGAATGTATGGAACTTTTGTTGGCCGACATAAAAATCATTAGACAGAACTTCTACAATGACGAAAAAAAGAACAAAAATGCGCAGGATAACAAATTAGCTCAGATGATGAATGTAAAGGAAATAAAAAGGCAAAGGAAGAGAAAGAATGGAAAATCACACGAATTTCACACAGAATTTTATGTAAGTGTTTTCAACAAACTAAGCTTCAGTACCTATTCAATTCCCGCTTACAGAATACTTAGTAATGTCTTTTTTAGGTTTGGCATAATAGGAAAAAAGTCTTTGTTTGCCAAAAATTATTTTCATCCATTTTTAATTGCGGCCCAAGAAGAATTCATACAATAGTAAGAAAAAAGATGCAAGGCATTGGTATAAAAGACAATCGTGGTGGGGACAGGAAGTCCAAGAAAAATGCACTCAAACTAGAAAGTGTCATGAAGTTTGTATCGTCTTTGAGGGGTCATGAAAGCCACTATGGTAGAGGCAAGTCTAGAAGAATCTATTTGTCATCTGAATTAAACATAAAAAAACTCTGGAAGATGTATAATCATCAAGTTCAAGATGATTCACTCCAAACAAACTACAAGTACTTTAGCAGAATTTTCAGCAATAAGTTTAATATAGGTGGGTAGTATTTATTTTTTTTCATTTTTTTCCTTTTACAAACATGCTCATTTGTTTTAGCCTTTGGAAGCCCAGCAACTGATGTTTGCGGCTTTTGCATAAGAACAAACACTGAGATAAACACCACCAAGGATGAACAACAAAGTTTAAAATTAAAAATGGATTTATCCATTCACAAGACGCGAGCAAAGCAGTTTTTTAAATTAATGAAGGAGTAATCTCCTGACAGTGTAGAATATTGTTTTGATCTGCAGCAGGTCCAGGTTCTTCCAAAAGCACCTATTACGGAAGCATTCTATGCTCAGCAACTGGCCTTTTATGTATTTTGCGTGAGAGATATTTCCATAAAAACTCCTGTTTTTTATACGTGGCTTGAGCATGAAGCGGGAAGAGGTGTGGTAGAAATAAGTTCCGCGCTGGCTGATTTTCTAAGAAAGACGGATTTTGACCCAAATACTAAACATCTAAGATTGTTCTCAGATGGATGTGGGGGTCAGAATAAAAACTCTCACATGGTACATGCACTCATGTTGTGGCTTTTGAACAATGCCCCAAAAACTATTGAAACAATTACGATGACGTTCCCCGTTCGTGGCCACTCGTTTATGCCAGCTGATCGAGTTTTCGGTCAAGTTGAGCTAGACTTACGTTCCCACGCTTTTATTAAGTCCCCAGACAAATATTATGAAATCTATTCTAAAAAAGGACAAGTCCGTAAGCTTGGCTCTGATTGGACTTTGTATGACATAAAACATGCAGCACTTTCACTCAAAAAAGTTATAGGCATCAGTGAAGCTAAAAGAATAATCATAACTCGAGGCAAACAACCTGCTGGGGCAAATAAAATATTGTATAAAATAGAATTTTTGTACAGAAATGATGACCCTTCTAAAAAGTTTTCAAGTTTACTCAAGCCAAAGAAGAAACTTAGTAATATAGTACTGCCGGAATTGCCAATGAAGCATGCTGTAAAGAAGAAGAAACTGGATAGCTTATCAAAATTTTTAGTTAGTTTATCGGGCAAGGAATGGGCGGCAGATCCAGAACTAGCTTGGTTAGACCCAATTTTGAAAGATCAGTATGGTGAAAATGTAATTGACGAGGAAGCTCAGACCTGCGATCAATGTGAAGAAGGAGAAGAATGTTGCTGCCTTCTAGAGGATGACATAAATGTCATATGATTTTTTAATTATTTAATTGAGTGTTTTTGAATACGCAGAAATGCATTTTCAGTTTATATTCTTAATTTAGTCATTTAGAGACAATCAAACTACGTTTTGTCATTTAAAGACAAACAAATAGCGTTTTGTCCCTCAGAAATTATTTTTTTTTCAAAAACTAATAAGGTCTGTAGTTAACTTATAAGTAGGGTAAAATAATAAAAAAAAGTACATTTCTTCATATCTTGTGTTTTTTTTATATTCTATTAATAACAGTGTAGCAGTTTTTCTTATTTCCTGAAAAATGTCCGAAATGGACAAAGTGCGATTTGAAAGTACTGCTCCTCAAATATTATTGATATGTTGTAGATGTTTTACTAATCTCAAATAACTGTAAATTATATGGATGATTTTGTTAATGGCCTGTGTTATTGACGCTGATGCTTCAAAAGGTAAGTCACTACTTATTTGTCAAAACAGCAAAAATGTTTTATTAGCACATTTCGTTATAAAATCTTCCACATATCATTGAAAAAAATGCCAACTGTAACGATATGCGAATATTTAAGGGTGTAAATCTAGATGCAAAATTAATGTTACTTTGCTCTATAAACTATGGCCCAAAAATGTTTCCCTACAAAAACTCGGGGTGTGGAAGTTTTAGGAAAAAAATGGAAATTAATTAATATTTTCAGAACCGCTTCAGATATTTCGCTGATATTTAGTACGTAGTGAAAGTTAATAAAGTTGCATATTTTTCAATGCAAAAATAACTTTTAGCTTTAACAGTGGTGTGCGTAAGGATATTGACTTCGATATTTTTTAAGAAAAAAATTATACGCAATGGTTTTTTTGCCGAATAAAAATTATTTTTGAATTCCCCGTTCAATTTAACTGATTTATATGATTTCTCTTGAACTGTTTTCCTTGGATGCTCCATTTTTGAGTGAAAAGAACCGTTCTATTGTCCGAGAAAATTAATGTAATAATTGAAGAACGCAATTTAGCAATAAATATCTAGTTGCTCTGGAATATGTCACTGGCTTTTGACATCTGACAGATCTCTGTTATTTAAATCTGTTCGATGTGACATCTTTTCATTATCTAGTTTTTACAATCTTGTTAATAATGGTGAATTATTAAAATGCAGAAATGGCGGAAATGCATTACGTATATGGCCTTGCCGACGGTAGTGATGAGCAAGCCAGACGGATTTATCACCAGAGATATCCCGACTGTACTTTGCCAGATAGTCGAAACTGGTTCTGTCCGAAGAGGAACATTTGAAGGTAGACCTCTAAGTGTGAGATCACTTGAAATTGAGGAAGCAGTGTTGCACGAAGTCGAATAACACCCGGAAACGAATACGAGGAAGACCGCTAGACGCTTAAATATTTGCCATCAAATTGTTTGGAGAATTTTAGTGAATTTCTTGTTATATCCTTACCATATTTTAAGAGTACATGCATTACTGTTCACTAATTTTCCAAGGCGTGTGACATTTTGTCAGTGGCAAAAAATTGCACAAAATCTGCAATTTGAGTCAATGATTCTGTTCACGGACGAAGCTATTTTTTTTCGAAATGCCATTAAGAATTTCCAAAATAATCACTTGTGGGCAGAAGAAAATCCCTATGTCGTAGCCGCGACCCATTTCCAACACCAATTCTTGGTTAAAGTATGGGAAGGAATTATTGGCAACCACTTTATTGGCCCATTCTTCTTGCCGGGACGACTTGACGGACAGACTTACCTCAATTTTCTTCAACGACGGTCTTTGCTGCTTGATGAAGTTCCGTTAGTGAGAAGAAACAATATGTGGTACATGCATGACGGTGCACCAGCGCATTTCAGTATACATAGAATGGTTTTAATTTTCTACTCAAAAATGATTTTTATTTGGGAATAAACCATTGGCGTACCGTTTTTTCTTAAAAAATATTGAAGACCATACTTTATTCACTTTCACTACGTACTAAATATCAGTGAAATATCTGAAGCGGTTCTGAAAATATTAATTAATTTCAATTTTTTTCCTAAAGCTTCAACACCCTCAGTTTTTATGGGGAAACATTTTTGTACCATATTTTATAAAGCAAACTAACAATTATGTTTCATGTAGATTCACACCATTAAAGTTTCGCATGTCATTAAGGAACGCCCTGTATAACAGACTCAGATTTATATAAGGAGCCGGCAACGTCGCATGTGGCGTTTGTGCACAATCGCGGTATGTACAGGATCCGTTCCATTCTGCAAGTGTCGTCAATAAGGTGTTTATACCTTTCAAAACCCAGATAATACTCGTATCAGCAATATTCTGCAACTAACCCATTTGAGGGCATTTTTAATCCCATTTCCATCATTTACAACCTAAAATGAGTGCCTATTCGGACGGAGAAACAGAAAAGGCAGGTGTTGCTAAGCTAGAGAATTACCACAAAAAATAACAATTTGGATCTTTGTCGATGCTTCTAAATTTTATCCGAATCACTCAACCAGACATTCATGTCTTTTTGGAACAGTTCAAGCTCTCTGGTAATCACCTTAAGTGTAACCTCACCTGATTTTTAGATCGTTGCGTGTTAGACGAATGGAAATTGTTTACCTCTTTATTTGTTTAGCATGTAACCACACTTTTAAATTTGCTGGTCATTAAGAGTACCTCACAAACTATCACTATCGCTATCACTGTGGCACGTCTTCTGAACCAAATTTTGACTGGAGACACTCTTGGCACATGATTTCACGGGACTGCTTTAAGCACAAAGCTATAATATATGAGATGTTGTGGACTTCTTGTCTCTTTAGGATCGCACTTATTAGGGCTTACAATCATAATTATTCCGTGAATAGACTTTGAACTGATGATGACTTCGACTTCTATAACCAAACTTCTAAATATCTAAGGCCCGTATCGTCAGTCGTCCCTACAATTGTAGGGCGCGTTTATGGCCTCTTTGATTTCGATAATATTACGTCTTGTTCGTTGACGTGCATGTATGTCCTGCTTTACATTTCTGACATTCTGACAGTTCTGGCTTGAGGTTATGTTGTTGTTTTACGTTCAAGATACATGACAGCAGAACCGTAATTTATAATTTTATTGAAATAATGTCGATCACTCAAAAATAGATTTCTACATTGAACAAATTCCACAACCTGTGGTATCTTCAAGAAATTGTTGAGTTAGGAAAATTAATGCACATGGATATATTATAATATCATATTTGTGTGTCTGAAGGTCCAGAAACATTGTATGGCAAGTGCAATTATTGCATTGTCGATGTCAGAGATGCTTTTTCACAAATCATTGTGGGACTCTATATTGTGTAGAATGTCAGACACAAGTATGTATACGTATAATATGTGTATGTGAAGAGCATAATTACTATTATTGACCATCGCTATTTCAGGGTGCTCAAAATGCCATGGTCATGTAGGATTACCAAAAATAAAGTGTTACAGAGAGTAAACAGAAGAATAGAGTTGCAGCATGAAGCAAAATCAGAAAAACTTCATGACAATTCCATAATTAATTACGAATGGGAAAATAAAAGAAAACTGTGATTCATCAAGGGTATTACTTTCCTGTTAAACAAACTCCAAACAATTCAAACATCTAGATAAGCGTAAAAGATCCATTATGTTGAAAATTGAAGTTACCTCAGAGTCAGACTGGGTTAAGCCCTAATAGGTAGTTTTAAGATAGTTTCATTGCATTCATAATTCACTCATCATTACAGTGAGATAGATGTTTCAGGTATCAAATTAAAATCAAATTAACATGTAAGACTCCTTTTAGGCAAAAATTAACTTAGCCTAACCTGGCTATGAGGTACAGAATTTGATTTGTATTTAAACTGCTGGGTATAAATTTTGGATCTAATTCACTATCAATAATGGAGCCTTCGGCTACTGATACTTCAGTGGTATCATCAAGAACAAGGAGATCAATGCAATGAGCCACAAAGAACAATATGTTGTATTTATCAAATGTGTTTCACCATATACTAATGTTGTAGAAAGTGGTATATGAAGAAAAAGTGAGGACAGCTAAATACAGTTTCTTTTCCAATTTGTTCATTGACTTGTAATCTCAACATAAAAGGACAAATTTATTAAAACTGTGGCATACGAAAGAAAAATATTTACTGTTCGAGAAAGAAATATCAAAAACTGAACAGGTTTGATATTTGAAACACTCATATGAAGAGCAGACTTTGCTAGTTATGATAGTCACAGTAAAAAAAATATGAAATCTTTGGCTCAAAAGACTGCATCTATCTCTTGAAGTATTGGTAATTGCAATTTAGTTTGTTTCCTAATTGAGTGTCCTGGGGGGTGGTTTCAGGTCCATTTTAAGATGAAAATTTCAAATGATCGTATATCCAGTGTTTTACCTTTTGAAACACAGGGTGGTAAAAAAGGTCAAAAAAATAAATCCTTGATTATGAATATCCGTATTACCTACCACTTGATGTAATTTGGCATACATGTAAACGTGTCAAGAGGCATTCTTTTAATTTTAACTGCCTGTTTTGATAGACAAGTGATGATATGCGGCTTATTTTTCTCTTATTAAAATTTTCAATCACTTCGAAGCAAAAATCGATACGAAATGATTTTTTTAATCTGATGCACGGTTTTTATAAAAACGATCATAACAATATTGTTAACATGACAATATCACCATGCAAAGAATTTTTTGGTGGGAAATAGTGGGTCGGACATGAAAAATTGATTTCTTTTAGTCTGACGCACGGTTTTCACCTGAAAAATACAATCTATTTCTCGACATAGTGACATTGTCAAACTAAGGATATTAGGATCATGCAAAGAAACGTTATTTTATTTCTGTAAGCGAATACCGTGCATCGGAGTGAACAAAAATTAAACAATCAAATTTGCCTAGAAATGACGAGATTTTAATTAAAAGCTTTTATTTTAAGAGAAATCAGTTGCGTACTATCATTGTCTGCCAAAATAAGCAAGTGAAGTCGGTACGAACGTCATTTTTCATGAAGTATTTAAAGTGATATTACAGATCGTAACAAAAAAATGATTGATCTTTAAAAAGCTTACCACTCCATTTCTCAAGAGTCAAGACGTTTAGGACATACAATAATTATATGAAGTTTTCTTCTTAAAATAGAACCAAAAGTCGCCCTCTTAAATATTGACATTCAGTTGGAAGACACCTTATATATTTTATGTAAGTATTAAGTATTGTAGTTTTTCATTTTGGATATGTTTTTTTGACTATAAACGTGTTCATATTTCCTGTTATTATTCGTACCTTTTAGATATAAAGACTTCATTTGATTACTGATACTTATGTATTTTGACATACTATCTATGAATTCCTTAACAATATCATGCATCATATTTTCCAGTTGGTACTTGCAGAATATAAATGAAAGAATACTTGGTAAAATACATATTTTTTATTCTACATTGTATACCCACAGAAACACAATAGGTTCGTTAAAAAATATCCAGTAATATAGATTTCATCAATTTTTTGTCCTTGACGTTAAGTAGATTATAAGCTATTTTTTAAATTACAAGCTATGTAAACAGGGCTAAAAGGATATCTAATCAATTGCAAAGAAATCTTTCTAGTTTGGGGGAACATTAGATCATTTTGGAAAGTTAATTAACTCTAGGTATCAAACTTCTTGAAATATCCAATTTAAATATATTGACTCTTCTTTTTTGCCCTCTAATAACGTTCCTTACACTGGAGTTATTGTCTTGGAACAATATCTTGTACCCTGGGCTTATCAGGATTGTGATGTGATTTCTTATGTTTTACACCTAAGTACCGATTTAATCATAAGTATTAAAATATGTATTTCATATAGCGTTTTTGCTAGATCACTGAATTCCTATTTAACCTATGGCATCAGCTTTGTGAGATTTTGTCAAATAGAAATGTTGATTACAATATTCAAAAAGCCACTTTATCGAGTTTCATGTGACATTTCAGCTCTCACATGCAACATTAACCATTAGACATTTGAGAACCCCCTTCCCAGGCATAAAAAAATCTCCTCTTGAACTCAATAGATTTTAACTTTTATGAATATACAGGCTTATTCCTACCTTTAATTTACAAATTGCAGCGTAACACATGTCAGTCACAAAAAGCAAATTCACTTATTCCAGTAAGGTTGGCTCCTTCAAACATGCTTTCAAGTGCCTGGATGCATGAATCCATTCTTAGGAAGATCATTCGTCATCCTCCCAAAATAGACATGGAGTTTTGTATGCAATATCACGATGGTTTCTATCTGCAAAAAAGATGCATAGATTCAAGAAAAATAAATAATGTTACACCTTGGTGTGGGCTACAATTCTATAATGATATTTTTAAGAGTTATAGTCTGAAATTTTTAGGTTAAGGTTCCCACTAATATAAAAAAATACCAGATAGGGCAGGGCATGTTTAAACTCAATTTCAGAGCATTTACACATTATACATACTTGTCGGCTGACACCATGCAATCCAAAGTATAACAATGATTTGTGAACAGCCATCTCCGAGATCAACAATGCAGTTGCACTTCGGATACAATGTTTTTTATCCAACATCTCATAAAATCTGTGAGAACGAACCACATCTGAAAAAAATGCGATAAGTATATAAAAATATGAATATGCAATGTTTAAAAATTTTGTAACTTACCAGCGTCATCAAGAAACAGCTTTGTTGTAAGCTCTTAGGCAAATATATATAAATACACATACATTTGCGTTAAATTGTTGATTTTAGATCATTAATACCAGATATGGGACTTGAAGATACCACAGCCTGACCAAATTATTATTGAATGGTCAAAAAAGAAACACTTCTGATTGACAGCAGACTATAAATGTAAAGCAGGACATACATGTATCTTACCGAAGAAGACGTAATATTATCGAAACCAAGGAGGCCATAAACGCGCCCTACAATTGTAGGGACGACTGACGATACGGGCCTAAATCTGTCAAAGCGAGTATTCAAGGTTGGTTGTAAAAATTGCAACGTTGCCAAGTCGTACCTAGATCTTAATATTATTATAGCCCGGTAGTTTCAGGATATAGAATATAAAAATTCGAAATCTCTTCAAAAATTTTGATTTTCGTGCCTAAAAAAACCAATGCTATCCGTCGGGATCCAATATTGGATAAAGCGATCGTTATAAATCCGAAAATGGCACATTTTAGACGTTCCGTAAGCACGCGCTTGCTTTTGTAATATTTTCATACCTACAGTGCCCCGCCTAACAGAAATAGCAAATCGTGAGAAAGGGACATGAGAGGAGGGTAGGCTCTTAAATTGAAATCACAATGATAATTATATGAGATATTTTGCATTTTTTTCAAAAACTAAAAAAACATACGAATACCAGTGTGCAAGTGTGAAAGAGCATTTCAAAAGCATAAAAACGGGCTATAACACTTTGCAAAACTTGTATCGAAAGTATGAAGAAGTCAAAACCAAAGAGGGTCATGACCCGAAAAGCGGCATTTTGTCAAAAAACTTTCGAAAGGAAAAGGATAAAGAAATAAAAAAGACGCTTTCCAAATGTCCGATGTCTGGGCTTTCTCACGCAAAAATATTTAGGTCCGTAGCTCCATTGTCTTCGGAGGAGATAGAAGTTAAACATCGAACTGCACGTTTGAGACCCAAAAAAGGCCAATACTCTGGCGTTTGCAAATTGTTTATTTGAAACGGGTGCCGTGCCCTAAACGGGAAAAGCTCTGTCTCGGTAACTTACAGTATTCGTCGAGATGTACAAAACGGACTATTCAAAATTTCTTTTCTGTTTGTCGTAAGGAAGTTATGGGCTTTTTAACGACGCATAAGTCCGTTTTCAGGATTATCTAATGCGATCGATCTTGAGTCGATATTTTGAGAAATGACGAAACGACGGCGGAAATCGTTTAGGCGAAACGCGAAAATCTACCCTATTTAAAAAAAACTCCTTTGTTCTCGTCCTAGACAGTCTTTACTCTACTGCAAAACCGTAAAACCGCGCCGACGTCGAAACTTCTCGATCCAGACTCGAAGGGAGAAGTGAAAAAAAACAAAAGATCACCGGTTAATATTGTCGAATTGTCGATTAAAAAAGAATATTTAAACGTAGTTACCAGTTCCAGTCAGCGTCTCGCTAGTACTGGATTGAGTGACTTTTGGAATGGTCAAGGATGTTTCGTCACTTGGAGTGTCAACTCTTATCGACACTGACTTTGTAGGTCCTGGTGGTGCCAGTGAATCACCCATTTTTGCCTTTGAAGTGCTGTAACCCACTGTCGTTTGAGTCTCTTGAACCTCTTCTTCATCTAAAACAGAGATGGCTGAAGCAACAAGTACACACAGGGTGTTCTAAAAGTTCGGGCTTTCCTTTCAGAAATACTAAGTTCGAAATAAAGTTAATTTGCCTATAAAGGGAAGCCCAAACTTTGGAGACTTTTGAAGGCTCTCTATAACGTCCAACGCTTCTTGCCCATACATTTTTGCAAAGTTGACGTCCATTGCCTATGTACTTGTGAGGCGTAACTGTGCGACCTGTCTCTACCAGTTTCCGATCCATATCCTGATACGGAACTGACAGCGCTTGTACGTCTTGGTGTTGTGCTAGTTCTCCTGTTGTCATCTTGCGGCTGTATTAATACATCCTCTTCTTCGGTCGCGGTTGATTCGCCAGGCTCATGGCTCACGCTGTAAAAAACCTTTTTTAAGGCGTCCAGTACTGTGACTCCTTCTGTAAACACGCGGTAAGTCAGAAGAAAGGTGTCCAAGAAGTCCCCTGACAGGAACCGTAGATCTGCAATAAAACATGTATTTCATGTAGCTTTGATTTACATCTACTTAGGGTGCAAGGATCCTTATATGGGCCCCAAAAAATACTGGGAATTATATTATTAATTTAATACATCCCCATGTAACTAGGGATTCACGCAACGGATGTAGTTAAACAGTAGGCCAATGAGCTCATACTAGGCCCGGACAAGCACGGAACACCGTGGCTATTGAATAAAGACTCACGCAGTCTTCTGGCTGTGATTCTTACAGCCTGCTGCAGGGAAAACAGACATGGCTTTCATGGTATTAGAAAAACGTCCGATTTGATCCAAAGTGCGGTTGTTGTTTGCTGGAGTCGAGACCTATTAAGCAGGCGGGTCAAATATTGTAACTGTTGGTGGTGGCTGTTGGTGTTATAGGGGTTGTCAGAGGGGACTACTTTGTCACCAGGTCACCAGGGTGGTCTTTTTTCAAAGTACAAGTCCATTGACAATGACAGTATATTTTATGTATTTCTAGCTTTCAGATGACAATTCGTTTGTTTTTTATTCCTTTTTTTACTATTTCATATAGTATGGTGTATATAGTAGTGAGAAAAAGAAAAACACAAATTAACTGAGACTTGGAAAACAGTTAAACAAAACATATTGACATTGACAATAATTTGTAATTTGAAAGGGCCTACTGTGGTGATCGGAACGTTAATAAATAGTAATGAATACGATACGCGGTTTTGGCCAAAATATCACGTTCGTAGTGTATTCATTCTATAGCATTTTCTACTTACCCGTGAGCCCTTGTAACAGCCTTTCAGGAGTAGCATATCTGATTTGTGGAACTGTACACGAATTGAGCGTTCTGCTAAATTTCATATCAGCTTCGTCTTTAAACAGGTTCGGATCATTTTTCAACGACTGAGGCATACCAATAGAACTACTGCTTGCCAGATGTGGTATTGCCATCTTATTGAACTGCATATTGTCCAGACATTGTATTATGTCTGAAACCCAAGCTGCCTTTTCTTGAGCTGTCGCTGCTAACAAATGAACGCTTAGCTGGAAAACCGTTTGTTATTAGTCTTACGAACATCTGGTGCAGTAATGGGTATTAAAGGATACTACAGCATACTAAAGGACCCTTATTCTATACTGAAGCATTCGCGCTGGCAAAAGGATGAAGAAACTTTGTTAATCTATGTGTTGAACTGCGAAAAGGAGCGGTTCCATCGGCCAGCTCTGGATGTACGAAGTTTTACGCGGCTGGGATGGGAGCCCGAAACGAGACTGTTCTATCGGGCAGGTACATCGCGCGGCGGCATCATGTAGAAGCGGTAAGCCCGTCAGCATAGCGAGAGACGAGAGCCAACGTTCCGTCACGTCGGTGCGAAAAGGTCTCGGAACTGTCCATTATAACAGACGCATGCATCAGTCTAAAGGATATTAACGAATATCTTTGGTTACTGGGGGTCACATTTCTAGACGTTGCTTGAGGATTGGGTGCCGTTTGAAGACATTTCCTTGTATTTTGAAATATTCGATCTTTTTCTGAATACTAAAAATTTCTAAAGTCTCAGAATTTTGAAAATTTACACAATTTTAGAAATTTTAGAAACAAGAATTTTGCTCGTTTCGAAAACTTTGAAAATGTTGTACCTGGTGAGATGTCATCCTCTTGGTCTCTACAATAATCTTGAAGTCCCTGTTTTGGTAGTTGATTGGAGTCGTTGGTTTACTAGATGCAGCTGCAGATTGACTAGATTGGCTAGATGCTGAATACACAGGAATTTATAAAAGACATGTCAAATATTGTTTCAAGTAAAATTGATGTAACTCACCTCCATCGTTCTCAGTTGTATCAGTCGGATCTTCGATCAAAAGAACATCCGCCAAAGAGATTTTACCTACCTCAGGGACCAGGTGAAGTTTTCCAGTGGATGTCCTAAAATTAGATCGAATAAAGCTACAATGATTCCAAAAATATGCTAATGATGGATAACAGCTTTGGTTTGCTAGAGACATTGCAAGTGGACTGTCAACTGCGGAAGCATCTATTAGAGACGAGCCGTACTTGCTATCCTAGCAATACAAGAATCTATTATGAGGAAGAATTGGATTTCTATGGCTTATGTAAGGAAAACTTCGTTGGGTCGTATCAACGCCTTCTCTAATAGTTCGGGGTATGTATATATATATATATATATATATATATATATATTAAACGATTCATAGTTATTGTCGATAAAAAGCTAGTTAAATGAAACTTGACATTTGGGGATATCGATTAATTAAGCAAAGTGTATCCTTATGACTTACAAACACAATTTTATACATCCAACGCTAGCACCAATCTCATTGACAAACTCTCGAAGAGGACAGCATAGCTTGTCGAAAGCTCGAGTATTTGTGAGTCGGAAGGGTACATTTTGCTTAATTTGTCGATATCCCCAAAGACAAGTATTTCACTTATATATATATATATATATATATATATATATATATATACAGGGTGACTTCGAAGTTGAGTCATTTATTTTAACAGTGAGTAGATCTGATCAAAAGAAATGTTTTTTTCCTTTACCATTTTTCTGGTAAAATTAAAGTAACAAAGTTATAGCCCTTTGGAAGTTTGAGTACCGCCCTGTCTCAATGTGCTCGTGTTTGGCGACAACGGATATAATCCGTCGTATCGGTTCATCGCATCGGAAACAAAAAAGCGAAAGAATTTGGAACGAATTATTTTATTCATTTGTATACATTAAGTGTTAGTGAATAGTTCTATCTGTTGCGTGGCTCAAACGAAATAAAAAATGGCACATGTTTATGCGGATCGGTTTCCCAATCGAGTGCAACCAACCCCTCGTGCCTTTGTTAATGTAGTACAACGGGCTCGTGAATCAGGTGACTTAAGACCTCACAGGGGACCTCACGATCAAATACAGGTCCGCACTGAAATACTTGTCGGGAGGATACTTTATAAAACAAGGTAAAAATTTTTTTTTAATTTTTTTTTTATTTTTACACACATATTTTGGTTTATATTCCTTCTACAATCATTATCTGAAAATTAATGACTCAACTTCAAAGTCACCCTGTATATATATATATATATATATATGTATACAGTATTTTTCTTTAATGTCCCCATGCCCTTTGATTTTTTGAACGGATCAATTCGAAAAATTAAAACTTAAGGTAATGAAATTGATGCGTGGACACCATATTTAAGAGTAAAATTGATAGATGAAAATGTCAATATGGCCGCTGGGCGCCATCTTGGGTAAAAAAATTATATGAATGCGGAGGTCTTGTGGCACATCGTTTTAAAGCTCCTGACGAGTGCTTTAAAACCCTAGAATATGAAGTCAATACTTAACCTACTACAAAATGGTGGGTACATTTAATAATCACCTGAATAGATTGACATTTAACTTGATAATTCGGTTAAATACGTTGAGTTCAGTTTAGAAGATAATGGAAATGGTTGCCTTGAACTTCTTGACACAATAACTGGTGGTCCGTAATTTCGCGTCGAACATTTTCAAACATAGTAACATCGATATTTTTACAAATATTTATTATTCAATATTGAAGCATTTTCAGTTTCGAACACCTCTTGATTCAAATAGCTCCATAAAAAAAGTCTAAAGGTGTCAAACCTGGTGAGCGAGCTGGCCATTCCACAGGACCTCGACGGAAAATCCAACGACCGGGGAAATTGTTATCTGAATAATTCCTAACTTGTCTGTAGTAGTATGGTGGAGCACCATCTTACTGGAATACAATATCAGTATCAAATTCATTAGGATTCACTGTTTCTCGATCTTCAGTTAGTTGATGTACCATTTGAATTTTGAATGGGTGATACTTATTCTTTTTCAAAAGTCTCCATACAGTAGAAGGACAAACCGCACATACATTCGCGATGAAGGAAGTAGACTGTTGGGGATTTACTATGATCTCACCAATTATATGAACTTGCTTTTCTTCCGGGATGGCCGAATGACCTGGGGGCTTTTTGTTTTTTACACTACCATTAGCTGTACATTTAGATACAAGTTCCCTTAAATATTTCCTACAGATAGAACGATTCGGGAAACGATCATTAAAAATCCTTTCGGTCTCGTGGAAGTTACGCGTCGCACCACAAATAAAGATCGCTTCGACTTTTTCTTCCAATGGACGAGAATTGACCATTTTAGTATCCAGCACTAAAACCGGAAACTAAATAAGAGTATTTTAAATGTACAATGATGTTTGTTTTCATACTTATATTCTTGTCACTATCAACAAAAAATAACAAAACAAGTTTTTACCTCTGTTGCTGTGGATACGGCAGGGAATTACAATTATTTATAGAGATATGCATGTTAGTGGGTTTGCGTTCAAACAATTATTAAATGTACCACGATCTTGTAGTAGGTAAAGGTATTGACTTTATATTCTAGGGTTATGAAGTACTCGCCAGGAGCTTCAAAATGGTGCCACAAAACCCCCGTTTTCATATATTTTTTTCCAAGATGGCGCCCAGCGGCCATCTTGACATTTTCTTCTGTCAATTTTACTCTAAAATATGGTATCCACGCATCGATTTCATTTCCTCAACCTTTAATTTTTTGAATTGATCCGTACACAAAATCAAAAGGGAGGGGGACATTAAAGAAAAGCACTGTATATATATACAGTTCTAGAGCTTAAAATAGGAAGAAAAGTTTATATAGACATAGGTCGACAAACGTCCCCTAAGGGCGCTACGGTCTTTTAAAGGGGCTCCCCTGAAGATGGTTTTTCCTTAATATTTCCGAAACGTGTTGAGATAAAGACATAAAATTTGGTATTCTAGCATAGTTTTTTATGCTGGATTTAAAAATATTAACAATTTTAGACAGTTTTGTTTGGAAGCGTATGTAACAGGGACGGACTCAGGTTATTTTAGCCTCAAAATTTTTGTGTGATTCTATTTTTGAAATTCAATTTTAGAATTTGAAAATTTAGCATTTTCTACATAAAAAGGTACTCTTAGTGAATATCGATAAATTGTGCCGTTTTTGAATAAAATCAAACTAAAGAATTTGTCACATGATGGGAAATGTGCTGCGAATTTGAATGAATTCTTGAATAATTATCCATAGCAACGAAACATTAGGCAAAAACAAAAGAAATAAATTTTTTCCACGAGCGAAATAGAAATTTGTTTAAAAAAGAAGACATACAGTTGGATATACTTAAAACTAGCTTTACAATAAGTCTCCAAATAAATTCCCATTTTGTTGGATACAGAGTCTCGCTCGACGAACTAATGATTGCGTAGCCCGAAAAGTGGAAAACATTTTTCTTCTCATTTCATTTGCAGCCTGATGGATTCTTTGAAGTAAATCTTCTTGAGTATACAGGGTTATCCAAATTAAGTGTCCACCATTAGTAACTTTGTTATTAGTGAAAATACAAAGTTGTTTGAATTAGCAAACTAGTAGCATTTTTAACGCTGGTAAAAATGAGAAATAAAAAAAACAATTGAGAGTCGTTATTTTGATTTTTTCAGTAAAATAACATTTTTTTAAATGGAAACCCCTGTATATTATATTTTTTTCTGTTAAAGCATCAAATTTTAAACAAAAAAGTTCAGAATGACTTTTCCGTTAAAGTCAAAAATAAAGTCAAAATAACGATAAATATTTTTAATTATTTGCAGTAATATAATATTAAGACGGCTACGAAAACAGCATGGCGTTCGCGATTTGACAGCATTAAGATAAGCGACAAATTGTTCGAGGTTTTCTAGCTATTTTATACCACAATCCTTGCTTCCTCAGGTTACACCCTTACGCAGATGTATGGGCATGTTTATCTACCTTTTTGGTTGCATATGTGCGTCTATTTCGGGCCTGATGAAGCCAACAAGCTGAAATATGTATTGCTCTGGTTACCTATCATATTTTCTGCTCGAATCCGCTTTCTGTTTTTGCGGATTTTGCCCATTATTTTCCTATTTTATATATGTACACAATTAAATTGTTGAACTCTTTTGACTGAAATCGCGAGCTTTGGAGAAGCTATCACGTCTTCTTCGGGAGTAACTGGTGTTTTAGATCGAAAACGTGGATGAGACCATTTATTACGGTTATGAAAACAAATGACCGGACACATTACGTTTGCTGTTAACGACGAACACATAACTATGCGTTGCAAACATTTGTCAATAAACACGAACGGATTAAAAAATTGGAAGGGTAATCAAGTTATTAAAAATTAATACTACATTGTTGGACAGAAAATCCATTTATCACCGTTTACCTTTTGCACGTGGTGAAGGTGAATGACTCGGAAATGTGATGTGGCAGATGATAGATGTATGTCATGAAGGAATGTGGAAGTGTAAAATTATTGTCAACTTCAAATTCTCAGCAAGTAATCGTTGGTTGTCAGAGCGGTCCGTGGGACCTTTGCTCTTGAGTCACAGTGTCAGTTTGTAAGTCTGTCAGATCTGGTAACCCAGAAACCAGACAATTTTAAGGAAAAAGGGGAAGGATTCAAATTCTCAGGTACAGTACGCAAGAGGGCAGTTTTAAAAATTACATATTTCCCAAGATGCTGAAATAGTTTTATTTTGGCAATGTGTGCCTTAAATGGAAAATATAATAGTAATTACATACCAGAAAACATGGGTTGTGAGAAAAAAATCATTACGACAACCGAAAAAATCCCTTTATTTTACATAATATTCGTATTAGAAATTTGTGATACATTATTGAGAACATGCTGACCTAACTGGAATATGTAGTCCTTCTAATTTTTCGCAGTTCAACATGTAAGGATAAATGATAGGAGATTGCTTAACATCAGCTTTTTTATTCATACAATCTGTCATGAAAATGTGGGACATTTCCTAAAATAGACGTTTTGAAAGATGTTCTTCATTGTCAAGAACCTTAGGGTAACTCATAGAATGACCTGTAGTATTAACATATGATGCCAAAGCACATCTTTCTGGGTGTAAACTGTCGTCACTTTTGTGTGAAGTTATCCTGCCTTTTAACGATCCGGATGTTTGGTCTATCTAAGCTAAATTACAGTTTTTGCAATTAATGCGATAGACAATGTTGGTTAATTCAAGCAACGGAACCCTATCCTTCATTTTGAAAAGCAGCAAAACGACAATTTGAGGATTTATACAACCTGATCAGTTTGTAAATTAATTATTTAATTCATGGCAAGACAACATAGCTAAATCTGGGACTAGAAGAATCTTCTGTAGTATTATCATCATTATTAGTTGAAGAATTATTGGGGGTGGGGTTGGAAAAGGCGGAGTTGTCATTGCCATTATTATTAGGAATTGGCAAAATATTAGAAGGAGAGCTGAACAGGATACTGTTAATCAAATACTTAGGATAACCGTTATTGATGGATAAAGTTGAAAGCATCCGTAAACTGGATAGATGGAAAGTACTCTCCGAGACTTTAATTACCCTTACCCTTACTGAATGTAAGGACCATAGCAGTTGAAATCCTCAACAATACTATCCCCTCCTTCAGAGGAAAGGCAAACAATAATATTATTCACATATTTTTTTATGAAAATTAGGTTGAAAGACAATTCTTGGGTAACAATATCAAGCAGATCATCCATCACGTATTCTGAGAAAATTGGAGATAAAACTGAGCCCACTGGGCATCCGTGTGTTTATGAGAAGATTTTGTTATTGAACGTGAAATAATTGTTTTGGATAATGTACTTTATTAATGGAATATGCAAGAGTTAGGTAGCTGTGTTGATTTATATGATCCCAGTGTTTGATCATGGATCTAATACAAGCTTCCAAATAGACATTACTCAAAAGTGAGACCACATCTTGACTAGCAATGACTTGATCCGGTGGTATTTGAAACCTATTAAATTGTTGAAATATCATCAAAGGAGTCATTTATGTAATATTCTCCGTTGATGTAAGCTGAGTTTAGAATATCCGCAATTAATGAAGACAGAGCTTGCGTGGCTGAATCAATTGATGCTACTATAGGCCCTACCGGAAGAACCTGTTTATGTACGTATATTCTGGGAAGATCATACAATTTTGGAGAGACAGAGGTAATTAAGGACTTCTTCTGGTGCTGGTTGGTCTGTCTATACTACAACTATTTAAAACTGTAATGACTCATACGCGTGATCAACACGTGATCAGAGCTCGATCCCGGCTTCCTTCCAGTATAGCCGTATAGCGTACGACATATGTCGTTTCTGTGGCTTTGCGGTGGTCAACAGCACAGACAGAGATGGAAATAATGGCTGATTGTTCTCCGCCGGTAGAACCAATGAAATCAAAGACGCGCCTCGACCGGCAGACTCATAGGCGTCGGCAACGCATTGGAACGTGTTTCGTTGAGCGATCGCGTATTGTGTGTTTTTATAAGAATTGTTGTGTGATTGTTATTGTTGTGGTTTCTGTGGTTACTGTTTTGGTTATACTTAACCATGGAGAGTACAAATGGCACGAGTGGAGGTACTGAAAGCCAGGGAACAAGTAGACGGCTTCGTAAAGCACTGAAGAGGGACGCGAAAGAAATCGTGCTCAACGTGTTCAATTATCTGAACAGAACTATGTCGCAGGGAGATGCACTCGCGCGTTGTGAAAGTATGACAGGCGTTCCAGAGTGGACCATTCGCAGGGTGGTGCATGAAAAGAAGAAAACTGGAGCTACTACTGATCCAAAGTTTAATTTGAAGGGACGAAAGGCCGTTAAATTGGATGACGATAGCAAAATGGCGTTAAGGCGAACCGTACATTCATTCTTCTTTAGGAATGAGATACCAACCCTCAAGGCTGTACATGCAGCGATCAAGGAAAATGAAATTATACCCCAAATGAGCGTCGAGGTAATGAGGAAATCCCTGCACGAAATTAATTTTCGTTACGAAACGCGTAATCGGAAGTCAGTATTGATAGAGAGACCTGAAATAGTCGCCTGGCGTCGAAAATACCTACGCGAAATGATTGAATATAGGCGAAAAAGCAGAAAAATCTATTATTTGGACGAGACATGGGTAAATGCAGGTCACACAGTTAAAAAACCTGGATAGACAAAAACGTAGTGAGTAACCGACAAGCAAGTATTGAAGGTTTGTCAACAGGTCTTCGTGGACCGTCAGGGAAAGGTCAAAGATTGATCGTAACTCATATTGGTAGCGATAGTGGCTTTTTAGAAGAGTGTGACTTGATTTTCGTCTCTAAGAAAGGAGGTGATTACCATGACGAAATGAATGCCAGCTGCTTCGAGACCTTGTTTTAAGGGGTGCGTCAGCGAGTTGAGCCCAACTCTGTGATCGTCATGGATAATGCTTCCTACCATAGTCGTGGAGCCGAACGTGTACCGACTATGGGATCTCGAAAAAGTGAGATGCAGCAATGGTCGCGCGAAAAAGGAATCAAGTTTGTCGATTCATGTGTGAAAGCGGAATTGTATGAAAAAATTAAACAGCACAAACCTGCAAACATTAGTTACGTGACTGATGAGATGGCCCGTCAATGTGGCGTCATTGTGCTGCGGTTACCGCCCTACCACTGTGAACTGAACCCAATAGAGCTCATCTGGGCTCAAGTAAAGGGTTATATTGCGCGCCATAACACAACCTTCAAATTACCAGACGTTAAGGTTTTACTTGAGACTTCCATACAGCTAGTAACGTCCGAAGCTTGGCAGAATGCTATCCGTCATGTTGTGAAGGAATAAACAAAAATGTGGCAGCTTGACCACCACATCGACACCATCATAGAGCCAGTTATAGTCAATTTCAACGAGGAAAGCGATAGCGACAGTTTATTACTGTCAGATGTAAGTGGAAGCGACGATGAATAAAGGTAATTCCCAAATTTTTGACTTACAACATGTTTCAAACCACTCTTTATTAAGCATGTGACAAATCTAGTTCACCCATACCCCGCCTATGAACAGCCGACTACTGGTAGTTAAGTGATGTTCACGTGAACATCGATGAGTCATTACAGTTTTAGATAGTTATAGTATAGTATTAAATAGCCTGCTAACAATGTCATTGCATCCTTATTGATCACTCTATATGATTTCTCAATTAAGTTATTACAAAGATCAAAATATTATTATCTTAACATAATTGCAGTCTTATTCGTCTTATTCTGTGGCAATTAATTCGGGATGTTCTTTTAGAAATTTTTTTGTTTTATTTAGAAGGTTATGATTATAACAATGTTTTTGTTAATGTTACCGTTATGGTAGTAGTTTGTGAGGATGTGGAACGAGTTGTTCCTTTCTGTCTCATCGCTTCTAGAAGAAGCCATAGAATCTACATCCGCTAGAATATATCTGATTGGAATTTCATTGTTAACAACCGGTTCAACACTGAATTTTGGATCTAAAGAAAGAAATCTCGAGACGTCATCTGGAATGTTGACATTACTAAGGTTCTTCACCCAATTTGGCTGAGTGTTAAGCTGAGTTCTCACACGGTCATTTGGTAGCATGCCAAACTTACGAATATTAGGATTTTTGATAGTATGGAATAAAGTATCATAATGCCTCAATTGCATAGATTGAAAATTATTAAAATTAAACAGGATGTGGAATAAATGGTTCCAGTTTTCAATGACTTAAATGATTAATGAAGTTTTTCAATTGTTTATGACAGGAGGATATTTCAAGAGATAGTATTTCCTCACCCAACCTTTGTAAAGGAGATTGTGGCCCTTCTTCTGCATGGTGATTGTGTATGATTTGGTTGATGGATGTTGAACAATGATTGATGTATGATGGTAGGATGCGATTTTTCCTGCACTTGGTTAAGAAAATTCGTCTGTTTATTTCATGTGCCAACCGTTTTCTGCACTTAATCCAGTCCTCCAACAATGTAACTGGAGTGTCCCGTATAGTTCCTCGATGTGTTTCATTGCCATTGCCAACGACTAGTTCTTTAATAGGAATTGGTAAGACTCAAAGCGTAGTGATCTCTTTTGACTGAAATCTGGAGCTTTCGACAAACTACGTTGTCATCTTCAGGAGCTAAAACACAAATACGAAAATAGCCACCAATTATTTAGAACAAAGTTAATTTCCAATTCCTTACTTGACGATGAGGTTGCTGCTAACAGGTGTTTAGAATACATAGCTATACGTTACAAACGGATGTCGCTCAACTCAAACGGATTAAAAAGAGGAAAGTGTAATCAAGTTATTAAAGACTAAAACTACATTTTTCACCGTATACCTGTTACACGTGGTGAATTATTGCCAACTTCAAATTCTCAGGTAAAGTACAGAAAAGCTTCATATTTCCCAAGATGCTGAAATAGTTTTACTTTGGCAATGTGTATCTTATATGCAAAATGTGATGGTACTGACACACCAGAAAACATGAATTGCGTGAAAAAAATTATTTCGAAAACTTGAAAAATTCCTTTATTTTACGGAATATATTAGAAATTTGTGACATATTATTGTGGAGCTGTTGAATTAACTGGAATATGTAGTCATTCTAATTTATACACACATATTGTACTGTTTTCTAAACCGTTCTTTACACTTACCTTGTGGCAAGTATCAGATGATTTGAAAACAGATAACATTGCCTCACAGCCTGTTCTTTTGATTTGAGTGAAAAAATTTTCCTTCTTGAAGCTTTGTGTTTATCAGTTGACAACTGAATCAGACATCCCTTTCTTACAAGAACTTGGTTCACATCTAGTAATATGTCACAGTCTTCAACTATCATGTTCTCCACTGCTAGGTTTTGTCGCAGGTTTTCCATCTCAGATACCTAGGATAAAGTTCAAGTACAGGAGAGTAGATCAAATTTTACAAAAGTTTTATGATTTTCATGATTTTCAAGTTTTAAAAGAATTTCCGAAAATGTGCTTTTCACTTTCTTTAAATTTCTGAATTTTCAATTGTTTTTTCAGTTATGTCTAACCTCATCATGCATCATCCTAGATAAATCTTCCAGTTGTTGCCTAGCATTTTGTAGACTTTTCCTCTCAACGTGGTTATGTGGGGTGTGAGCAAGCAGTTCGTGAAGAGCTATGATATATCGAGGAACCTGAAAAATAATGTGTTCATGGTAACAGTTGATTGTGTTTTCTCGTAACATCATAGCCAGTGTAAAATGGCAAGGTCTGTTCAGAGCTTCCCCACAGAGCTTGTGATTTGGTAAAACTCGACCAAAGTTGTCATTTACACTATTTATGTTGCAGGAATTAGTACCTGATGCATGGGATATGTAAGAAACATTTCCAGTGACCTGCCGCGACATAAAGGCTTGAACTCCAATCTCTTCAGTAGTGCCGAAAATGCTGGGGATTGCTTGCATTCTGTGAGAATCTGGAGAGAGTAGTGATGGTTTCTAACGTATTCGTGGTAGATACTTAACATTGGAAGGAGCATTGAAAATAAGTCACCTGTAACAATACTGAACCATATAACTTAAATTCTTATTGAGCAGCTGCCACATTTAGGGATTCAAATATATTCACCTCAACTGTATTCAAGATAATTAAGGGATCAAGAAACCATTTGTTCAACAAGCTGCTGCGCAGGCAGAAGAATATTTGTTAATCAGATTTTTGAACTGCATACGGTTAGTAGAACTGGGAAAAGCCCCCTCACGTAGATGGTTCCACAATCTCGACACCCTCGAGACAAAGGAGTGGTCGTATCGGCCAGTTCTGGATGTACGAAGTTCTACACGGTTAGGAAGGGACGCCGAAGTCAGGTTGGTCTGTGTGGCAGGCACATCGTGCGGCGGCATCATGGAGGAGAGCTCTGAGGAGCAAATCTAGTTGGCACCGGATTCGTTTGCCGGTGCGAATGGGTCCCGAGACTGTCCGTCAGAGTAGAGTCATTGATTAGTTTTGAACATCGGCAGTAGTCCAAACATGTGAACACTACTCGAGGTTAGGACTAATCTGAGCCTTGTACAGGGTGAGTTCATGTGGAGAAAAGTACTCTGCAATCCTAAACAAACAGCCTAGGTTTTACCCAGCCGTATTGATGAGATGTGCCAGATTAGGTCCTCGGTAATTTGTACACTGACCAGACGATATAAATGGCTCCTTTGTAGAAGTCTGCCATCCAACGAAATCGGAGGAACGCCAGGACCCTTCCTGTTAGTCAAGGTACAGTGTTTTAGAAGCATTAAATTGTGCAAGATTCTTGCGACGCCTAGCAGTGTTAACCTCCAGATCTTTGGTCAAAGAGGAAGTTGCTACTAATCTACCTTTTTCAGCTCACAGATATTGGCTTGTCACTCTGGATTCCCGCATGTCATCAGCAAAGCTGTAGATGGTATTGATCGTATAGGAAAGGAGGTCGTTAATATGATTTTTAAGATGAACAATGTCGATGCCAAGATCGATCCCTGGGGAATACCCGCGTTGACTTCAAGGGATGAAGAGGAGGACCCGTCAATCATCGTGGATATCTTACGGCCAGGGAGGAAGTCAGCCACCCATCTACACAGCTTCTCTAAAAGGCCATAGGGTGGTTTGCATAGGAGAGCAGCATACCACAGCTGACCCAAGACTTGGGTGATATCAAGAGCAACGACATGAGCCTCGACATAAAACTGGATGAGTTTATCCCTCAGTTGCGTGACGTGAGATAGGAGGTCCCTCGTGTATAGCTCTTGCCGAAAACCATACTACCTGATGCTATTCAAGCCGTGACGCTCGAGGTACTCCAGAATTAGCGACAAGCAGTATGGTTTGCGGCACTAACGATCCACAGGGGACCTCCTAGCTTACGTCACGTAATTGTGGAGTAAAATCATCCAGTTTTATGGTGAGGCTCAAGCCGCTGCTCTGGATGTCACGAAAGCGTTCGATTAGCTGTGGCACGCTGCCCAACTTCCATCCTATGGCCTCCCAGAGAAGCTTTGCAGATAGGTGGCTGACTTTCTCTCTAGCTGTGAGATATCCGTCGTTATTGACGTCAACGTCAACGCATGTGTTCCCCAGGGATCTGTCTTGATTTCGACATTGTTCCTCTTACATATCAACGACCTCCATATATGCAGGAATTCAGAGCGACCAGCCGATCTCTGCCGCTAAGCTGGAAAAAAATACTAGCGATGACCTCCTCACACGAGTGACCTGGAAGTTATCACTGCTTGGGGACGCAACAATCTTGTACAGGGTGGGCCATCTATCGGTTTCGATTTGAACCACGTGTTAATTTGACGCTGACAATACTTATGTCAATCTGATTTGTCATAAAATTCAGTATATTATCTCCGCTGAACGAAATGAATCGATTTACGCTTGAGCAACGTTGGGTAATATTGGAAATTTATTTCCAAAACAAAGACAATTGGGCAGAAATTGCACGAAAATGCCGTTCAAAATTCGGTCGCAACGAAGCACCAACAGCGCCCGGTATACGCAAGTTTATTAATAAAGTGCGTGAAACTGGTTTCATTGTTGATGCTCCAACACGTCAGCGTGCTCGTACAGTGCGTACACCCGAAGGTATCGATGCTGTGGCTGCGAGTGTGCGTGAAAATCCATCAACGTCAACACGTCATCGTTCCCAAGAATTGAACATTTCCCGCACCAGTTTACGACGAATTTTGCGGAAAGATCTCGGTATGACGCCTTACAAAGTTCAATTGGTTCAAGAGTTGAAGCCGCGTGACCATCCACTTCGTTCTGCCTTCGCTACATGGGCCAACGAGCAACTAATCAATGATGTCGATTTTGGGAAAAAAATAATCTTTTCAGACGAAGCTCATTTTCATATTGGTGGCTACGTCAATAAGCAAAATTGCCGTATCTGGGGCTCGGAAAACCCACACGAGGTCTTAGAGAAACCAATGCATCCCTTGCGAGTGACTGTTTGGTGTGGATTGTGGAGCGGAGGCATCATTGGCCCATATTTCTTTGAAGACGGGGACGGCGCAACCGTTTCTGTCAATGGAAACACCTATCGCACCATGATAACTGATTTTTTTGTTCCTGCTCTTGATGGTATTGATGTGGAGAATGTTTGGTTTCAGCAGGATGGTGCAACTTGTCACACATCGCATGCCACAATCAACTTATTGCGCGAAACCTTCGATGGCCGTTTAATCAGTCGAAATGGTGATGTCAATTGGCCGCCAAGAAGCTGCGATTTGACACCATTGGACTATTTCCTGTGGGGCGCTGTTAAAGACAAGTGTTATGTCGACCATCCAGAGACAATTGACCATTTGAAGGCCAACATTCGTGATGCCATTGACGAGATACGGCCCCAAACACTCGAAAAAGTGCTCGAAAATTGGTCCGATCGAATGGGCTACTGTGAGGCCAGCCGCGGCAGCCATTTGAATGAAGTAATATTTCATTTCTGAGCGGAACAATTGTACTTCAAAACAAAAAAATAAATTTGGCAATATCTCAAACCGTTTTTGTTTTATTTTATTTTTAAATCGAAACTTTTAAGTGGCCCACCCATTACAATATAATGCTTCCAAAACATAGTACTGTACCTTGACGAACAAGAAGTCTCGTAGAGTTCATCCGGTTTCGATGGATGTTCGAGTTCTGCCAAAGAGCCGTTCATTTCGGTTGGTCGGAGTCCTGATCACCGAGGACTTGATCTGGCATGAACACTTCTCGTCTATAGCTGCTTCTACTGGGAAAAAGCTAGGCTATTTGTTTAGGGCTAAGAAGTACTTTTTTCCTCAAGACCTCACTCTATACAAGGCCCAGATAAGGCCTAGCCCCGTTGTCCACACGTTTGGGGTGCTGCCGCCCGGATTACTTAATTTATGCTCGATGCTGTCTAGAGGAGGGCTTTCCGACTGATTGATGACTCTTCTCTAACAGGCAGTCACGGGATGCTTTCGCACCGACGGGCCGTCGGCAATCTAGCTCTCTTCGCACCAACAAGTTTTGCTCCCCCATGATGCCGACGCGCGATGTGCCTGCCAGACAGACCCGCCTAACAGTCGAACTTCGTACATCCAGAAATGACCGATAGGACCGCTCCTTTGTCCCGACGGTGTCGAGATTGCGGAACAGTCTACAAGAGGAAACTTTTCCCAGTTATATTAACCTTAGTGTTAAGGACTTGTATGTTGTTTTTTGAATTTTGCAGAATGTTGGAATTTTATTTGGCAACCGCGCCAAACGTTTTCACAGTGGCAACGCCGCAAATTAACCTGATGTTGCCCGCGCGGAAGAACTCGGAACTATATAGACATAAGATTAAAAATGTACTGACTTGCACGTTTCCTAAAAATAAAGTAAAAAAGTTTATTGAAGGTGTTCAATATTTGCAAAGAAAAATAAGCTAACAAGCTTATTAACATGGTCCTTCGTCGCCAAATGAAGTTTTGAACCAAAGGAGAAAAGCAGGGTAGAACGAGAAATTGTCGGGAGCATCGCATCGCAGCAAGAGGTTACAACGAGGAAGGCGCCTGCCGCCATTAGGAGAAAAGCAGTTTGGATAGCACAGCTCAGGCAATTTTCGCCCTGGAAGAAGCAGAAGACGTGCAGTCGTCAGGAAAACAAGGTCAGATAAAAACAAGGCATATCTGAAAAGAGATTATAGTGGGCAATTCCCTTTTTACCTTTTACCTTCATCCACTACTCATCGCTTTTGGGATATTTTTCCTTTTCTTATAAGTCACAACTAGCCTCTTATTTATAAATAATGGAAGGGCTTGTACGCGAAAGGGGTAGTATCAAAGCCAGCTTGACAAATTTTGCTAAACATGTTTCTAATTTGCTAAGAAGTGACGAACTTCTCCCAGAGAACGTTTTTGATTTGCAAGAAAGATTAAATAGTTTAGAATGTAGCATGCTGCAAAGATTTGCTGATATACAGGATAAAATAGGCTTCGTTCCAACAAACTTGTGTACCGTACAGTGAACCGTCATGAGCGTGCGCAGTACTTTTTTAGTGTCACTTAAAACATACTGCGCACGCTCATTACGATTCACTGTACGGTACACGGCTTTGTTGGAACGAAGCCATAGATAGAGATTGTGATGAAACTGAATTGGAACATGAATATGATGAGAGGTGTGAATTTGAGAATAAATACTATAAAGTTTTAGCTACAGCAAAAAACATTTTAGCCAATAACAAAACGTTATTGGGAGTAACGAATGATGATTCCTCATCAGCAAGCAGCCCAGAGGGCAGAGTAGTTAGTGCAGGTTGCATTAAGCAGGACTTGCAACTCCCAATAATTAATTTGTCAAGTTTTGATGGTTCACTGCAAAATTGGTTGGAGTTCAGAGATGTCTATGAATCTCTGATTCACAAAAATAAGTCAATTACAGACATTCAGAGATTTCATTACCTTAGAGCCTCTTTGAAGCTGGAACCAGCAGAAATTGTTAGGAATCTTACATTTTGTGCGGATAATTATGTCGTAGCTTGGGAAATGCTCTGTGACAGATACAATAAT